CACACCCACTTACCTTGCAGCCAGGCCTCTCCTCACCCGCCCACTTCTTCTGTGGCACCCCCAGGCCTGCATTTTGCAGTCAGAGGCCTTTCTGGAAGGCCACTGCAGCCAAGAACCGAACTATGCATTAAGTCCATAGCTCAGTTCACAGCTGCAGTGGCTTTCTGGAAATGCCTCTGACTGCAAAATGAAGGTCAGAGCTCCATTCTCAGCTGCAGAATGAAGCTGCTCCTTTGGCTGCAGAAGAAGTGGGCTGGATGGTGGGGCTGTCAGTTCTGGAGATGTGTGGAAAAGACCCCCTCTGAAAATAAGACCTGGTGCCTCTTTTGGAGGCAAATAAAATAAAATAAAATAAGACCGGGTATTATTTTCAGGGAAACATGGTAATAGATTAAGCAGAACTTATTTCCTCCCCATGTGTACTTCATTCCCATCCTCTCCATTTTGATTATTGAATTTTAATTCAGTTAAAATTGAACTTTAATTGAATTTTAAATTTATGGTCTGCATTTAATGTTTTAATGCTTTGTATGATATTTGATTGAATGACTGTAAGCTTACTAGATTTCTGTGTTGTGAGATGAGCAGCATAGAAGTTAAATAATTAATTCTTTGTTGGGGCTACAGTAGCAGAGATAAGATATAGTCCAGTGATAGTGAATGTTTTAGAGACTGAGTGCCCAAAAACTGTCCCCCCATCTCCTGCCCCGCCTGCCCACAGGGCCACCTGCTACCTCCAGGGCCCTGCATAGATCTCCCAGGGAGCCCAGCAGCGCCATGGCGGTCATGCCCTCTGTCCGCACCCTGCAGCTTCAACTATGTGCATTGGGGCATGAGGGCAGAGTCTTGTCTAGGCTGCCTGGCTGCCATGTCGTTGGCTGGGCTGCTCCGTGTGGGCCATGCTTGGGGGCAATTTTCCTTCAGGGGGGCTGGTGGAGAGAAGGGGGTTATGGGGAGGCAAGGCTGGGGCAACGGCACGTTTGCCCACAGAGGGGGCTTTGAGTGCCGCCTCTGGCACCCATGCCATAGTTTCATCACCACTGATATAGTCTATGTAATATATCAAGCATTTCATTGATAGAAATGAGATGAAAATATATAGAGGCTACAATGTCTATATTGTTTTTCCAATGCTTCCTTTTGTAAGTGTGATGCTAGGGAAGGCTGTGATGAGTCCAGAGTTATTTGATGAACCAGAAACTTTCAGTGTAGTCAGGCTTTTGCTAAGTATCATATTGGTTATACAGAGAAAGACAAGTCCATTATTGACTTGTGGTTCCAAGCTGGAATTGTATCGTTAATCTTCCATCATTTAGAAACCGTGCAGGAATTAGATAGTGTGATTCTAGCTGAGCATGCTGATAGAAGATAATATTTGTAGCTCAGGATTGAACTTTGGGGATCCTGCTGCTCTCTGAGCTTGGTTGCTTTGTTGCAGACTTTTCATTATCAAACTAGGTAATGTCATCAATACTAGCAGGGAGTAGGGTTTTCTCTCATTATTTATATTGGTGGCTTGCCTTGTCAGTATTGGTGGGAGCATACTTGGTGGTGTCCTGATTGGGCTGCTATTTACGTGTTTGTCTTGTAACTTAATAACAACCAAGCTCAGAGGGCAATAATGACCCTGTAGTTCAGGGGTGTTAAACTGCTGGCCCATGGGCCGGTTGCATCATGTGGAGGCCGCACTCACCCCAGCTCCAACTATGCAAAAAAAGTTGTGATATGTTGCGACACATCATTTGACATGGCGGGTTTGACACCCGTGCTGTAGTTCAACCTTGAACTACAAATATTCATCCTCTATTGGTATGACATATTAGCATCAAACACTTCATAAAGCACACAAACTGAGAAATTTGCATGTAAACATATTTCCAGCAAGGAACAATTATTCTTCCTGCTCGAATGCCTATGACAGTGAGCTCTGCCCATCAGTGTCAGATACAAACCTCCAATAAAATGCACTAGTTTAGGAAATAACCCAAGAAAGTGGCAGAAAATGAGGTGACTCATTACTGTAGATGTCCACCTCAGACTCAACTTATATTATCCACCCACTATCTGCTGCAAATCTCTATGTTTTATGAAAAGATCTAATTTTCTTCTAACTTCCTTATTTCTGCTTAAAATTCCTAATTATTAATTTCTCCTATCCTCCTATTTTGCCTGCATACCACAGACCAGAAATTTGGGTGGGTGCTTTCTGGGGGCTTTTTTGAGGACTGCTCTGTTTTCTACTTTGGATTGGTTTTGTTCTCATCTTCTTGTGATGTGTGATATGATAGTTGGACTGGTACTTTCTGGGGTCTCTGCAAGAAATGTTGTAGTTATGATTGCTATTTCTAAAGCTGCAAAGAACTCTGGTTGATTAGCATCATCACTGTTAGAGTTTAGTTAAAAGAAAACAGAGAAGTGGAGTTGCAAAAGGTGCTGCTACTGGAACAAGTTGCACAAAAAAAGAGAACAAGGACAAAAAAGGTGGTGTGCAGATGTTCCCAGAGAGGAATTGATCCTCCCACAAATGCTGAAATAAAATTGGTTGGCTAGAGTTTTCTCTTCTTATTCACTAATATTATACCCTCCAAGCAATGGAGAAATGATGTTATAATGCCAAAAAAAGAGAACAAAACCAATCCAGCTCCAAACCAGCTAACAACTGTCCTAGCTAGCTCCTAGTCTCAGTTTTCTAGTTCACGGTTGTTCCAAAGGTGCTTTTTCAAGAGGCAACAGGACGTTCTTTGTTTTTCATTGAAGATGTTTTGTTTCTCTTTCAAGACGTTACTTCAGTTTCAGTGGAGGGAAATGAAAGGATTTTTATTCCTCACAGTCGTCTGGTGTTAGCACTCTTTGTGAGAGCTGTTGAGGCCACTTGGAGGTTTATCTGTGTCCTCAGGGTCATCTGAATAGTGCAAATGGGTGTGGAACCTTTTCGGAACTGCCAAAAGGACTATGTTGTAAACAGGAGGTAGCTGATATTGAATGACAAAGGCTGCTCTTTTAAAGACAGCAAAGTCCACATTGTCGACAGAGAAAATAGCTGGTTTGAAAGAGGGGTCAAAGAGTCCATCTACATTAAAACTGAACAGCCTTCTCTCAACAAGAGGGATATGATACCACCTATCTCCTGTTTATAACATAGTCCTTTCAGCAATTCCAAAAAGATTCTACATCTATTGGCACTATTCAGATGACCCAAGGGCACAGATAAACGTCCAAGTGGCCTCAACAATTCTCAGAAAGAGTGTTAATGTCCAGATGACTGCAAGAAATAAAAATCCTTCCATTTCCTGCCACTCAAACTTGGATGAGAAACAAAATGTCTTCAAGGAAAAACAAATTGCATATTGAAAAAGCACCTTTAGGTGTCCTAGCAGCTGACTATTGATAATTAGCAAATGGAGCAACCCAGTCAACGCCAGGTTGTTCTATTGTGGATCAGTGCAACACTCTGCACCAGCTCTCTGCAAAGTACATTAACCTTCCTGAAGGTGTTCTGTGTGCTGTTTTCACAAATCTGAAAGTGGTATTTGATTGAAAGATTGTGGCAAAAACTGCTTCCTTCATTGACCACTGGCTCCTGCAACTATACCAGTTGGTAGTTCTCAAGTTACAGGTTCTTAGTGACAGTTCAAAATTAAATTGAACATCTTCAGGGATACTTAAGTTCTGGTAACTGACCCATCCCTTCTGTGATCACACTGTGAATGCTCAGCAATTGATCCACATTTATGCGTTTTTGCAAAATCTCACAATCATGCAAGTGTCATTTATGATGTTTTCTTTGCCAGAGACCTACAGTTTCCAGCAAAAAATATCCATTTCAGAGAATGGATTTGCTTAATGACCACCACCCACCCTTAATGTCTACTGATGTCTAATGTCTAATAAAATTGAACATAGTCATTATGTGACCTGAGTAATGACTGTCCTGAGTTATAACGTGATTCTAAGTTCATTTACAGTTGTAAGTTGAGGACTTTCAATACTTAGAACATTCTATGAAGAGACTAAAATATAGGCTCTATGGTTATTAGTGGAGAACTGATTTCCTATTCCAGTTTGTAAAAGAATTAAACAAAACTGTATTCTGACTCTTATATTCTTTAATTTTTAACTAACTCTAAGGTATGAGTCCTTACATAAACTGTTTTTTATCTGTTCTATTACTAGTAAACCAATCTTCACTCTGCTATATGCTTACTACATTGTCATTAGTTGATTTCCCAATGCAATCTTCATAAATTAGCATCCTATAGCATCATATGTCAATCTTGAATAGTAGAATTCAACCACAGGACAACCAAATATTGCAATAAACATCCCAATTTCTGGAAGAATATATGAAAACAATGGTAATGTAATGGATAATAGAGAATAGAAAGTAATGTTATTTAATACAATGGAAGAATGGAATGGAATTGAATGGAATAGAACATAGAATGGAATAAAACAAGAATAGAATAGAATAGAATAGAATAGAATAGAAGAGAAGAGAAGAGAAGAGAAGAGAAGAGAAGAGAAGAGAAGAGAAGAGAAGAGAAGAGAAGAGAAGAGATCTATAATAATGCCTTTACACATACATATATTTAAATCTATATTTTGATTTATGGATCTAATGACTTTATTTTTGTCTTATTGCTCATGCATCCCTGCCTCAGGAGGCCCTCACATGTTTTGAAGATGTTTACATATGTGACTGTTTTATTATCATTAAGAAATTAGCCAGTTTGTCTCTTCCAAATCCTATGGGACTTGGAATAGGAGGAACTGAAAATAGGAGGAACTGACACTGAAAGATGGTATTTATTGTCCCAATGATATTCCAACCCATGGCTTGGAGCCTCAAGGCTCTGTGAGTTGATTTTATAGTATGTTGCACTCGATATTTGTCTCTGCAGAAAATCTCAAGAAGGTAGGTCAGTCTGATCCACTTCAAATAACTTATGGAAGACAGAGGCATTTGCATCCAGAAAGAAGACACTCATGGAAGATGTTAGTATTCATGGAGTTACTGTTGATAGTATTGCCTGAAGTGGTGTGCAAGAATCCTGGCCTTCAATGTGACTTTCATCAGCCTCTTCCTATTCGGCATACCTATCATCAGTTTGGAGACATTAATATTGCTGGCATTATTTCTGTCTTCTTTTCATCTTCTAATCCCATTAAATTTATTCAGGATCCTTCTCAGAGATTTCATGATGGACTTATGTAAGTACATCATTAATTTATTGTCAAGCTCTGAGTCTTGCTGTTATATTACCTGATGCTTGAAATGTTTCCTCTAATGGCAAAAAATCCAGAAAGAAACATCTAAAATAGGATGCCTAGGTTTATTTTATGTGAAGTTATATTTTACTTTAGTCTTCCAGTAATGTTGAAATGGAGACCAAATCTCCATTTGTAACACATCACATTTAAATATCTATTAATATACAGGAATGTGGCTTAATTTATGAAGCTGTTATTATCATTAAGAAAGGGGAAGCACATACTTCCATGATCAGTTTTCTCATTTGATATTTCTGTGCCAAAATGTAGCAATTTCCTTCTGCATATAAGTCATTCTTAAAATCTGTTGTTTGATAGTGGGCTATTCTCACATATTAAAACACAGAAATAGGAATTATTTCACACATTTCACAAAATGTTTTGTACTGAAGGATTGCAAGTGCCATAATGTGAAGCAGACTTTTCTAAATGTATTTTTTTTAAATGTTTTACAGAATATTTTTTCAGAATTACCAGCATGTTCTGGCATTAGCATTTACTATAAAACAGATTAATGAAAATCCTCAGATCCTACCCAACATCACGTTGGGCTTCCACATTTTTAACAGCAATTTTAGTCCAAGCTGGACTTACTTCACTTCAATGGTTCTGCCTTTCACTCAGGGAAAATTCATCCCTAACTACAAATGTGGGGTCCCAAATACCTTGGCTGCAGTCATTGGGTCACCTGACATCTCTCTTCACATGGCAACTGTGCTCTGCATCTACAAAATTCCACAGGTATCATACACTATCATTCTGCCATACCCCCACAGGTATCTATATTCTTCTCTCTGTGAAAAGGAGAAACTTTTCTGATTACTACATATTATTTTTTGTTTGATAGGATCAGTAGAGAGTAGTGAGTAAGTTTAATAGACAGGGATATATGACATAGCAAAACATTTCTCAATTCTAGAAATTTATCCAAGGTTCAAAGCTGATATATCCACAATATTTCTAGGAAAAGGTACGTACTGATATCTAAAGAATGACATCTTGGTGGTATTCCTAAGAATCCTTTCAGATCCCTAGATATTATTTTTGCTTGATAAGATTAGTATAATAGCATGAGTAATCATAACTCTGAACAGATGGTGGGGCTATTGGATACAGCAAAGTATATCCAAATGCCAGAAAGTGAACTAAGATTCAAATATTCAAAATGAGACTACTTCGACAAAAATGTATTTACTGATACCTCAAGAGTGACATCTTGGTTGATATTTCCTAATAAACACAACCAGTTGCATAATGTTTCACAATATAACATCAAAGATACCCAAAAATGCAAATGAATTTTTAGGCTCTCATAGACCTTTGCAACTGCATATGTTTATCTTTCTGTAGTTGATATATGGCTCTGCTCCAGTCATGGATAAAGAGACGCAAGCAGTTTTCTTCCAACAAATGTTTCCAAATGAATCCCACCAATATAAGGGCCTCCTGCAGTTATTGCTGTATTTTAGATGGATCTGGATTGGAATTCTTGTAGTAAAGATTGAAAAAGGAGAGAAATTTGTCCAGGAGGTTCTCCCCACATTTTCTGAGCATGGCATCTGCACTGAGTTCATAGCAGAATTCCGAAATGTAGCTTTTCACAGTGATTTAACTGATACCATAGATGAAGGGCTACATATCTACCATGTCCTCATGAACAGCACTGCTAATGTGGTAATTTTATATGGTGAAATTCAGTCCTTAGCAGCTCTGAGAACTTTCCTCCAGTTTTCAGAAGTGGAGGATATACCAAAGAAGAATAAGATTTGGCTTATAACTGCTCAGACAGATTACACCTCAGTTGCCGTTCATAAATTTTGGGATATCCATTTCCTACATGGTGCTTTATTCTTTGCAGTTCATACAAAGGAGATCCAAGACTTCCAGGAATTTCTTCAGAACCTGAATCCAAACAACCACAACCAGCACGATCTTTTTCGGAAAGATTTTTGGGAACAGGTATTTGATTGTTTCTTTGCAAACTCAAAAACTGAGATCTCTGAGAAGAAATGTACGGGACAGGAAAGGCTTGAGAGCGTTCCCACATCTGTGTTTGAAACACTAATGAGTGGCCAGAGTTACAGTATTTACAATGCAGTCTACGCTGTGGCACATGCTTTGCAATCTCTGTATTTATCCAAATCCAGGGAAAAAAGATTTGTTAAAGAAGGGAGGAAACAGTTTCATAATCAAGCGTGGTGGCAGGTAAGTCTGTAAGCAGAGTAGTACAGAAACCACCATATCTGCAATTGCAAGATCTGTCCATAGACTCCAGTGAACAATAATTTCTTGAGGGATTGACATTAGGTTTAAATATGAGATACAGTAATGGATTAACTACATTACTTACTACATTCCATCTCTCTGCCATAAATTCAGTCTATTAATACATAGAATGAGGTGATCTATTCCATTCACATTATGTGCAGTAGTTGCTTTTTCTTCTAGATCGGTTGTGTCCAACTCACCATATCACGTGATGTGTCATGATGTATCGCAACTTTTTCCCCATTGTTGGAGCTGGGGTGGGCGTGGCTTCTGCGTGACACAACCAGCCCGCACTCTGGCAGTTTTACACTCCTTTTCTTGATGCTTTCTTTGGAATAGTTGTTTTTAATCACTCACAATTCTGTGATTGTTGAAAGTACCCTCATGCCTTTATTAATCATCCATGCATGGAAGTGGAAGGACGGATGATTATATTGTGACATGATTACTCAAAACAGGATTCAGATGTTCCCTTTCCATCAGGCAATGGTTTCCCAGACTTCACAGACCATTAGAAACTCATCTGTATTTCTACACACAGAAATTAATAGCAAAACATGCTTAGTTTGAGAGCAAATTATATGCTTCCAGGAATAGAGTTCTAGGAATAGCAGTGAAGGGAGTGAAGGTGTTTTTAACATCTCAGGTGTTAATAAAAGAGGACAAAGGTAGGATTTAATTTTGAGCCTACTTTTTGTGAGACATATAGACTCCCAAGTGATAAAAGAATCCTAGGTTTAAAAATGGATATTTAAACCCTTGCTTAGTGCAGAATTTCAAATTCTAGCATCTTAGCAGATGTTGATTGTGCCTCTCTTTGAACACATCCAGTAAAACAAAGGGCATTGCCCTTTGGTCATTATTTCTCATTGCCTAACACAAGGGGTCAAACCTGCCACGTCACGTGATGTGTCGTGATGTATCATTACTTTTTTTGCATTGCCAGAACTGGGGTGGGACTGGCCTCCATATGATGCAACCAGCCCGCAGGCCAGCAGTTTGACACCCCTGGCTTAACCTCTTCTACTGAAACTTTGTTTCATAGGTAAAATATAGTTTACAAAAATATTTTTTTAATTAAAAGTAAGTCTGTCTTCCATTATGCTGAACATTTTACAGATCATCCTTACTGAACTATGGTAATCAGAGCCAGAATTTCCATTGCTAAGTTGTACAGTTATAAAGTATGCTGTCATTTGACCATGCAGCTTACAAAAGCAATTGTGACAGTTCCCAATTATCATTGTTAAGTGAGGACTGCACAGGTTTTGAAGCAGTTGATGTGATTACAACTTCCAACTACCTTCCAGCTTCCCCATTGACTTTGCTTGTGGAAAGCCTGCAAGGAAGGTTACAAATCCCAATCCTGTAATTTTGGGATGCTGCAACAGTCAGAAATCCAGTTACCAAGTTCCAATATTGTGATCACATGACCACAGGGGTGTTGTGACAGCTGGAATTTCAAGGAAGTCGTCAGTACCATATATTTTGCACCAACCAATTTCAAATGATTGCTGAACAAGCACCCATTGAATGAGGACCACCTGTACTTAAGTATTTCTTGTTGTCTCATATATAGAGACCTCCAAAACATTTTCAGCCCTAAAAGGTAGATCAGACTGAAAAATCATCACCATGTAGGTCAGGACTTATTTTATTGCAAGAGCTGTAGTAACTGAATCTTGCAAGTCTGAATGTGCTTAATTCTCTACCATATTCTCTTTGTTTGCTTTTTAAGCTTTCTTTGAAATGTTTTCTCAACTCATATTTCTTAGTCAAGGTTCAAGTACTTCTTATTTGAATGTTAACTTGATAGTTGCTCTCCTTTCTGTCCTTCAAGACCATTCATATGATCATTAGAAATGTAGATATTTTCCCATTCAAAACACATTAGTTGTGGGAGAAGAACACTGACTACCTCTGTCACTTGCTAGCTGTCCAGGAATGGGGATATCAGACACTGTAGCCTAGTTCTGTATGTGAACTAAGATTGAATTATATCACTCCTCCAAGGGAAGCAATCCTGAATCCCATCTAGGTTACCATAACTTAGTATGCCTTATGGCCATTTTTCTCTCTGTTTTGAACATAAGATAATATAGCCAAATACACAACACAATATCTAGATAAAACATACTGTAACTGGAAAGGGTTTTGTGTCTATCTGTATATACATACATGCATATAGACCTTTTCGGTGAGATTTTGTTTTAACTTGTTAGTTCCTTGCCTCTCATCTGTTTGATTTTAACTATACTGTAATTGAAATCAAATTTTAGCACAGCTACAAGTATAAGGCTCTTTATAAGTAAGAAGAGTATTCAACTGTTATAGCCCTATATATTGTTTAATCATTAAGTCATGTCTGAGTCTTTGCAACCTCATGGACCACAACACCCAAGTCCCCCCTATCCTCCACTGTCTCATAGAATTTACCCAAATTAATGTTCATTGTGCTGAAGACACTATCTAACCATCTCATCCTCTGCTGTCCTTTTGACTTCTCCTTTTGCATTCCTTCTTTCCCAACATCAGGATCTTTTCCAACGAGTCTTCTCTTCTCATTAGGTGGCCAAAGTATTTGAGCTTCAGCTTCAATATCTGTCCTCCAAAGCAGTCAGAGTTCATTTCCTTAAGGATTGACTGATTTACTCTCCTTGTACTCCAAGGGGCTCTCAAGAGTCTTCTCCAGCATCACAAATCAAAAGCATCAATTCTTTGGTGCTCAGCCTTCCTTATGGTCCAACTCTCACAGTTGTACATTACTACTGGGAAAACCATAGCTTTGACTATACAGACTTTTGACAGCAAGGTGATGTGTCTGCTTTTTAGTATGCTATGTAGGTTTGCCATAGCTTTCCTCCCAAGGAGTAAGCTTCTCTTAATTTCATGGCTGAAGCCACTATCTGCAATGATTTTGTAGACCAAGAAAATAAATCTGCCACTGCTTCCATTTCTTCTGCTTCTGTTTTCCAGGAGTGATGGGACCAGATGCCATGATCTTAGTTTTTTCATGTTGAGTTTCAAGCTAACTTTTGCACTCTCCCGTTTTATCTTCTTCAAGAGGTTCTTTATTTCCTCTTCACTTTCTGCCATTAAAGTAATATTGTCTGCTTATCTGAGGTTGTTAATATTTTTCCTGGATATCTTAATTCCAGCTTGTGATTTATCCAGCCTGAGGTTTTCCGTGATTTACTCTGCATATAATTTAAATGAGCAGGGTAAAATATACAGCCTTGTGGTACTCCTTTCCCTATTTTGAACCAATCATTTGTTCCGTGTCCAGTTATAACTGTTGCTTATTGAACCTGCATAGAGGTTTCTCAGTTGGTCTGATGCTCCCAGCTCTTTCAAGAACTTGTCACACTTTGTTGTGATCCACACAATCAAAGGCTTTAGCATAGTCAATGAAAAAGAAGTAAATATTTTTCTGGAACTAACTTGCTTTCTCATAATCCATCAAATGTTGGCAATTTGTTCACTATTTCTTCTGCCTTTTCAAAAAAATAATTTGTACTTCTTGTGGTTCTTGATTCACATACCGCTGAAGACTAGCTTGTAGGATTTTGAGTATAACCTTGCTATTGTGTGACATGAGCACAATTATATGGTAGTTTTAAGCTTCTTAGTATTTATTATATATTCATTACAAGTCCTCTGGCTTAAATAGTTTTTACTATTAAACTACAAAGTTTTTGTTTTGCAATTCTATGTTAATTTTATTTCAGTAAGCTGATATGTTATCTCTTCCTTTGTGTTAGAATGATTGTTATGCCATTGGTTTTATACTGGCCTAAAACTAAATAAAAAAATGTTTATATTTTCTTTGTTTAAAGAAATATTCATATGAATGTTTTGAATATATGAATTATGTCTCCCTCTTTCAGTCCTGTTCTCTATTTTTTCCTTTCTGAGTATCAATATATTTCAGGTTCATTCTTTTCTGAGAAATGTCAGATTCAACAACAGTGTTGGTGAAAAGATCTCCTTTGACAAAAATGGAGAATTCATTGGTGGATTTGATATTATCAACTGGATCACATTCCCAAACCAATCCTTTGTGAGGGTCAAAGTTGGAATAATAGATCCCACAGCTCCAGCAGACAAGTTCTTCAATATTTCTGTGGATTCTACCACGTGGCCAGTAGGCTTTAATCAGGTTAGCTTTTTGAATCTAGATTGGTCTGCCTTCATTTAAATATCCGTATTGATTAAAGTCTCAAAGCATCATTTCTGGCTAATCTACAGGGGGTAAAAATGTCATGGGAAAGGAAAAATATCAGTCAGATTTTTTTTTTTTACTTTTCTAAGAATTGCTATTGAACATTGTACCCTTTATTCTGGCTCTCTGTTAATGATGGACAATGGTTTTCATGGTTTTGACATAAAAACTGGCTTCAAAATTCAGAAGTTGAGAAAACCAACTTTAACTACTCAGCACAGAACTTGTCTTTGGACAGTGGGGATAGAAGGCCATAAATACCAATATTGTAGATATTTAATTCATTATTATTTCAGACCAGTTACAATAAAAATTATGTTATCACACTACTTTATTTTTAATCTATTGATTGCCCACTAACAGTATCACTCCAAGCACTTCCTTTCCTCTCTGAATCTTAAAATATTCTTCTTCATTCGTTGATAGGCATTACCTCTATCTTTGTGTAATGATCCTTGTAGGACAGTATATTCTATACTAATAATTGGTATAGAATATTGTATCCTTCATTTTGACCCTGTATTAATTATGGGCAATGGTTCTCATGGCCTGGGGATTCATATTTAAATTCATTTAAATTCATAAGCTAAGAAAACCATCTTTAACTAACCAGCATAGAAATTGTCTTTGGAGAGTGGGGATTATGTTTATGAAATTATCTCTCTAAAGATAGATAATTAATGAATTATTATTTCAGAATAATAATTCTGAAAAAGATACCATCACACTATTTCCGCTTATTAATCAAAATTCATGCTGTTTGTTCCACAGTAACAATATCGCTCTAAGCACTTCCTTTTTCCTCTGTATACTAAAATATTTTTTTCATTAATTAATAGGCATTACCTTTATCTCTCTGTAATGATCCTTGTGAGAGAGGATACAGCAAGACAAAGAAAGAAGGAGAGTCATTTTGCTGCTATGCTTGCCATCTGTGTCCAGAAGGGAAAATTTCAAAGGAGAAGGGTAGGAAATTTCCAAATATAATGGGACTAAACCATTAGAATATAACACTATCTGTAATCAGCTATACCAATTCCACTGTGTTCTTTTTTAGACATGGATGACTGCTCTCCATGTGCAGAAGATCACTATCCAAATCCTGACAAAAATATGTGCCTTCCAAAGCGGATCACCTTTTTGTCCTATGAAGAACCCTTGGGGATCAGTCTGACTGCTCTTTCTCTTTGCTTTGCTTTAATGACAATTTTGGTAATAAAAATTTTCATGAAACACAAAGACACTCCTATCGTCAAAGCCAACAATAGGAATCTCACTTACATTCTCTTAGTTTCCCTCCTCCTCTCTTTCCTTTGCGTCTTTCTATTTATTGGGAGACCCAACACGATTGTGTGTATCCTTCGACAACCAGCTTTTGGCCTCATCTTTTCTGTGGCAGTTTCTTGTGTATTGGCCAAAACCTTTGTTGTGGTTCTAGCATTCATGGCCACCAAACCTGGTTCCAAATTAAGGAAATGGGTGGGTGGAAGAATGGTCAGTTCCATTATTTTATCTTGCATTCTTCTTCAAATATGTTTTTGTGCTACATGGTTGATAACATCCCCACCATACCCAGATTTTGATATGCACTCAATGTCTGAAGAAATCATCATGGAGTGCAATGAGGAATCGGTTATGTTCTACTGTGTTTTGGGCTTTATGGGTTTTCTTGCTCTGGTTAGCTTCTCTGCTGCTTTTCTAGCTAGGAAGTTGCCTGACAGTTTCAACGAAGCCAAACTCATCACCTTCAGCATGTTGGTGTTCTGCAGTGTTTGGCTGTGCTTTATTCCAACCTATCTAAGCACAAGGGGAAAATATATGTTGGCTGTGGAGATCTTCTCCATGATCTCCTCTATTGCTGGCTTATTGGTGTGTATCTTTCTTCCCAAGTCTTTTATCATTGTGATGAGACCTGAACTTAACAATAAACATCATCTCATGAAGAGGAAGCTTTAAGAAAAATTCCTTTATTTGTCCATGTTCAGATCTCCCCCCCTTACATATTTAAGCCAGAGAGCAATCTGCAATTAGATCAGCCTTCTATGTTGCAATTTCTACCCTTCCCCCAAGATTTGGGTAGGTCATATGTTTTTTCCTTCTAGAAGGGAATTTAAAATGTGTACCATAAAACATATAAATATGTTTGTGTTGAGATATTTTAGTATGTGATAGACATCTCTGACTCAATATATAGAATTATGTGAAGTACGAAATTATTTTTACTGGTCATCGTAGTTCACATGCACACTAAAAGCAAAGGTTTCCCTATCCAGTTGTGCCTGAATCTAGCGTATCTTATCTTTGTTTCTTAGCCGAAGGACTCAGCATTGTCCAAAGACATTTTCTGTGGTCATGTGACCAGCATGGCTATATGCCAATGGAAGAATACATAAAAATATAAGCAATCCTCGACATATCAAAGGCCATTTAATGAACATTTGAAATTACAACAAACCCACCAAAAAAGCTACATATAGCTCCTTTTCAAAATTACAATGACTGCAGAGTGCCAGTCATTATTTGTGTTATGTATTAACTCAATTGCATAATGTCTGTTATAAAAATGGTTAACTAATTGTTCAATTTGAATCCTCGATTGTCTGTCTTTGTATACTGTTAACCTATGTTTTAGGCAGGAATGTATACTTTAAAATAATTGGCTGCCACCTAGTGGCAGTCCATATAAATATAAGTCAAGCGGCTGCTAGAGCCGCTTCTGTGTGGATTGAATAAACTAGCTGCTACTTTCAATGTCTTCAATGCCTCTCCATTCCCACTACACAACAGTTTGTCCTTGCAACCCACTATAGGGTTGCTGCACTGCCCTCCTGTCTCTCTCCCCCCCCATCCCGCCCAGCTATAACCCTGTAATAATTGGGCCGGCTCCCCAATTGCCCATCTTGCTCCCTCCCACTTGCTTTCAAAAACTCTCTGGACCTCAAGTTGTGGAAGCAATCCAGGTTTTTATTTGCCTCCAGGCCACATGGCAATTTTCCAAATTTTGTGAGTGGGATAAAATGGCAGCCACCAGACTGTGGAGACCTAGTTAAGGCAGGAGAACAACATAGTTTATCGCCAGACTGTGCAGCAGTCTTAATATGGCCACCATTTTGTACCCACCTGTAAATAGGCAGAGAACAAAATGATGGCCACCAGACAAACTGCTTCATTCATTTGCCTTAGAGAGGTCTCCACAGTGCTGTAGAAATTTCTGAATGCTGCAGAGTGCAGAGTTTGTTCAGGCAGCAAAATGAAGGAGTTTATCCATGGACCATGCAGCAATGACCTGAATGCGACAAAATGTGCTACCATGCCATGCAGCCATACAAAAATAAGGAAGTCCAGTACTCTGAATGTTCTCAGAGTTCTTCAAAAGGTGAGGAGAAAAAGTGTTTGGTAGGAATTAGGCCTAAGGCCTCAGAGAAACTGATGGGAATGGGAAGAGGCCTGAATGGACCCAAGGGGTGGAAAGTAGAGCATGGGCTATTTCAGGGATGGTGAGGCCTTCTGAGGGCCAGAGCAGGTGGGCCTGAACCTGTAGTAGGTTTCTAACCTCACCCACCACCCAGGAGGCAACCTATACTTCACTTAATGGCCCACACATTCATTTTATGTTTCATTGGGGGTGAGCAGAGATGGGTGAGGGTGTTAAGTGATATGTTTCACCTAATAACAGCCATGACATGCAACCATTATGTCTGAGTCCCATTATAGTTGTATCTTGACACTACCTGTAATTGAAATAGAATGGAGTATAATGGAGAGTGAAATAGTTTAGTGTATTGTCATGGGAGAACAGAACATAACAGAATGAATCTAATTAATGCCTATACTTTGCTATAAGGTTTTATTGATTTTATTTTTGTTTTCTGGCTCCTGGGTTCCTCTACTGGGGACCCTGAATGTTTTGAAAATGTTCACATATGTGACTGGGTTATTATCATTAAGAAATTAGCCAGTTTGTCTCTTCCAAATCCTATGGGACTTCATGAAAATAGGAGGAACTAACACCATAAGTTGGAATTTATTGTCCCCATGATATTCAAACCCATGGCTGAGAGCCCCAAGGCTCTGTGAGTTGATCTGATAGTATGTTGCACTCGATATTTGTGTCTGAAGAGCATCTCAAGAAGGCAGGTCAGTCTGATTCACTTCAAATAACTTGTGGCAGACAGAGACATTTGCACCCAAAAAGAAGACACTCATGGAAGATGTTGGTATTCATGGAGTTACTGTTGATAGTATTGCCTGAAGTGGTGTGCAGGGATCCTGGCCTTCAATGTGACTTTTATGAGCCTCTTCTTATTCGGCATACTTATCATCAGCTTGGAGACATTAATATTGCTGGTATTATTTCTGTCTTGTTTGCACCTTCTAATCCCATTAAATTTATTCAAGATCCTTCTCAGGGATTTCATGATGAATTTATGTAAGTGCATCATTAATTTATTGTCAAGCTCTGAGTCTTGCTGGTATATTACCTGATGCTTGAAATATTTCCTCTAATGGCAAGAATTCCATAAAGAAATATCCAAAATAGAATGTCTATTTTATGGGAAGTTATATTTTACTTTAGTCTCCAGGTAATTTTGAAATGGAGATCAAATCTCCATTTATCACACATCACTTCTAAATATCTATTAATATACAGGAATGTGGCTTAATTTATGAAGCTATTACTATCATTAAGAAAGGGGAAGCACCTATTTCCCATGATCAGTTTTCTCTTTTGATATTTCTGTGCCAAAATGTAGCAATTTCCTTCTGCCTATAAGCCATTCTTAAAATCTGTTGTTTGTTAGTGGGCCATTGTCGTGTATAAGAACAAGAAATAAAAATTATTTCACACATTCCACAAAATGTGTTTTACTGAATGATTACAAGTGTTATAATGTGAAGCAGACCTTACTTAATGATTTTTTTTAAAAAAAATTGTTTTACAGAATAGTTTTTCAGAATTACCAGCATATTCTGACTTTAGCCTTTACTATAAAAGAGATCAATGAAAATTCCCAAATCCTACCCAACATCACGCTGGGCTTCCACATTTTTAACAGCAATTTTAGTCCAAGCTGGACTTACTTCGCCTCAATGGTTCTGCCTTTCACTCAGGGAAAATTCATCCCTAACTACAAGTGTGGGGCCCCCAAAACCTTGGCTGCAGTCATTGGGGCACCTGACATCTCCCTTCATATGGCAACTGTGCTCTGCATCTACAAAATTCCTCAGGTAAGGTGTGCTGAAGACATACACTATCATTCTGCTGTACCTCCCCAGATGTCTGTCTTTTTCTCTCTGTAAGAAGGAGACCCCTTTCAGATAACTAGATATTATTTTTTGCTTAATAAGAGCAGAATAGCACCATGAGTAATTGTAACCAAATATATGGTAAGGATATTTGATCGAGCAAAACATTCCCCAATTCCAGACATTGAACTAAGGTGCAAATTTCATATATTCACAATGAGACCACATCCAAAAAATGTATTTACTGATATCTCAAGAGTGACATCTTGGTTGATATTTCCTAATAAAGACAACTAGTTGCATAATGTTTCTTATTTCTTATAAGAATAAGAATACCCAAAGACTCAAATGAATGTACATGTTTTTAGAGGCTCACATACACTTTTTGAATCGCTTATGTTTATCTTTCTCTAGTTGACCTATGGGTCTGCCCCCGTCATGGATAAAGAGACTCAAGCAGTTTTCTTCCAACAAATGTTTCCGAATGAATCCCTCCAACTCAAGGGTCTCCTACACTTATTGTTGTATTTTAGATGGATCTGGATTGGAATTCTTGTAGGAGAGAAATTTATTGAGAAGATGCTCTTAACATTTTCTGAGCATGGCATCTGCACTGAATTCATAGAAGAGTTCCCAAATGTAGCTTTTTACAGTGATTTTAATGATGCCGTTGATGAAGGATTACATATCTACCATGTTCTCATGAAAAGCACAACCAATGTGATAGTCTTATATGATGAAATTCAGTCCTTATCAGTTCTTAGAACTTTCCTCCAGTTTTCAGAAGTGGAGGATATACCAAAGAAGAATAAGATCTGGCTTATAACAGCTCAGACTGATTACACTTCAACTCCCTTTCATAAATCTTGGGATATCCATTTCCTACATGGCACTTTATCCTTTGCAGTTCACACAAAAGAAGTCCAAAACTTCCAGGAATTTCTTAAAAATCTAAATCCAAGCAACAATCAGAATGATCATTTTCGGAAAGTTTTCTGGGAACAGGCATTCAGCTGTTTCTTCTCAAACTCAAAAATGGAGGAGTCTGAGAAAAAATGTACCGGACAAGAGAAGCTTGAAACTCTTCCCTCATCTGTGTTTGAAACACGCATGAGTGGCCAGAGTTACAATATTTACAATGCAGTCTATGCTGTGGCACATGCTTTGCAATCTCTCTCTCTCTCCAAACCTAGAGAAACAACCATGGTGAGAGAAAGAAGGAAACATTTTCACAATCAAATGTGGTGGAAGGTAAGTTTGTAAGCAGAGTAGTGCAGAAACCACCCTATTTGTAGCTGCAACCCGTGTCCATAAACTCTAGGAAACAATATTATCCAGGGATTTTGACCTCTGAAAACCCAGACATTAGATGTAAGAAAGGATTAACTAATTAAAATATTATTATAAATATTAATAATGGATAGTAGAGAATAGAAAGTAATGTTATTTAGTGCAATGGAAGAATGGAATGGAATTGGATGGAATAGAACATGGAATGGAATAAAACAAGAATAGAATAGAATAGAATAGAATAGAATAGAATAGAATGGAATGGAATGGAATGGAATGGAATGGAATGGAAGGGAAGGGAAGGGAAGGGAAGGGAAGGGAAGAGAAGAGAAGAGAAGAGAAGAGAAGAGAAGAGAAGAGAAGAGAAGAGAAGAGAAGAGAAGAGAAGAGAAGAGAAGAGATCTATAATAATGCCTTTACGCATACATATATTTACATCTCTATTTTGATTTAATAGATCAAATAATTTTATTTTTGTCTTATTGCTCATGCATCCCTGCCTCAGGAGGCCCTCACATGTT